AACAAACTATAATAAAATTAAAAAATAGTAACGGTAGGGGACTAAGCTAAAAAGGAGAAAAATAGAGGGATGAACCAATTCAGGTTATAATAAATATACACATAGAAATGTCTCAATGAAACTCCCTGGATAGCTATCTTAAACAAACAAAAATGCCTTTTGTCCAAAAGCAGAAAACAGGAAGGCAAAAAGGTCTTATATGAGGGGTTTGTCCTAGTGGAGGGGGAGAAGACATAAGGGAAATGTGTAAGAGGGTGAATATGGTAGAATTATTATGTACTCAAGTATGAAAATGGAAGAATGAGATCTGTTGAAACTATTCTGGGAATGGGGAGGAGGGATAAAGTAGAATGATGGAGGGAGTGAATTTAACTGAGATATATTGTAAGAACTTTAATGAATGTCACAATATAGCCCCAATATAACAATAATATGAAAATAAAAGGATGATAACCTCAGGGAAGCACACAAAAAATAATAATAGTGTTCAAAAAGTTAATTTGGAGAAATATTAATTATAGGCATTACAATAAACAATGTACTTATTGAGTATAATGGCATTCTTCTGGTTGACCATTATCAGTATGGTTATATTTACATTTTATGGTTAAATCACCATATAAAAGTTATAAAACACACCCCTGAGATGACCAAATGTTTTGACAATGTTATTAAATTGTTGCAAACTTTTTGAGGAGATCTGAAGTAGAGTGAATGGTGGCTGATTCTGACAGTTAATGACAATGCTATCTGCTAATGTCACTGCGAAGAGCTATTTTAACATGCCCACATGCAGAAGAATAAGGAGGCAGCACGCTTAATACTGGGCTCAGACATATGCTCAAGATTAACATCTGGCATTCCCAACATCAATTGTAGAAAGGAAGAGAATTAAGTTGGTGCTGCAATGTTTTCCTTCTTTCCATGGGAATTATTGAGCACTAGTGATACAGACTTTGCTATTAGAGGAGGTTAAAAGTAAATAGAGATAAAAGCCTTACTCTCTAGATTTATTGAATATTTTATTTTTATGATAAAATTCATATTTAAAGTTCCTGTTCAATAGATACAACTAGTGGAAGGCAGAAGAGTTACTGGTGCTATAACTCACCACCAGTGAGATCAAAGTACTTGAGTCATAATTCAATGGCCATGTTTGTCACTAATTGTTAATTGCCATGGTAAGATGACTTTTAAAATACCACGCTCTTGACTCCTTGTTATCATTCCCACTGTAGCTCCATGGGTCTCTCCAAAAAGAGAGTAACTTGGATGCTCAAAGTAGGAGAATGTTTGCATAAGGCTGAGTTCAACATAACTAGGATAGGATTAACAGTCAAAACCTAAGTTCCATTATTGGCACCAACCAGGCTTCATAATATCATTTCATGTACAAGCATATTACACCAAACTGCGTAACAATATAGTAGGAAACTTCAGAAATAACTTTGCCAAAGTATAAGAACATTGGTTTCAATTCACCAGCCACTCTGCTCATGATCTCTATTTCTTTACTCAAACACCCTACATTCCTTTGTTTTCTAATTATTACCTACAGAACTTTTGAACACTTCCTTTTGTGCTTTGTGTTCAGTTCTACTTTTTAATATCTTTTTTGTAAAAGTTACAAGTTAATCATTACTTAAAGAGTGCCTTTAACAGTATGGCGTATTCCTGGAAAGATCTGATAGAGTCTTTAAAAATGGACTTCTTTCTCCATATTAAGTTTTACTTCAACAAGATCACTGATTTCAAATTTCTCTGACAAATATAGTTGAGGCATCAAAACCTAGATATGTTGAAAATAGATTTTCCTTCAAGTCATTTAGAATCTAAGACTTTCTGCCCTGCTATGTCAAATGACTGAGCTTGGTAAAATAAAATAAAATGGGTGTATGTGCCTGTCTGTGTAGGGGATTGGTGGGGAGAGGAGATTATATAGCGGTTGGTTAGGTAGGAGGATTGGGAAGCAATCTATATAAGGAGAACTCACAATGTCCTCTGAAACTAACATATTTAAGCTATCCTATTTCCCAGGACTCTGTTGCAGATACTTCTGTCTCAATGTTTGTGGTAAACTGATGATTTTCTCTGCTGCTTTCATTAGGCAGCTCCTTTCAAAAAAAGGATTTTCCTGGGAGGTAAAAGCAGTACTCCTTTTCTTCTTGAGAAAAGGAGTGCATAGTTCTATACTTAAAAACCATTTTTATTTTCTTCTGTTTTTATGTCTCTTAGCAGTCTCTCAATTTGTAAGGAAAAAAAAAGAACAATTTGGGAGAGACCTTAGACATTATCTTGTCTGAACTTCACTTTATAGATAATGCAAATAGAAGCCCTGAGGAGTGTAATAGATTAAGGTGGCCACATGCACTTTTTCATTCCTTTTGTGTGGGGTGGGGGGGGGGCAGTCTCACCACTGTCCTTGCTTTGTATCTGGCAGGCTGTGCCATTGCATCAACCAACAGAATACAGTGGAAGTGGCCTTCTGCCAATTTCTGGGCCCAAGTCTTAAGAGAATAACCACCTCTATTTCCTGTCTCTTGTTTGTTCTTATGACTTATCATCTTAGAATTCAATATTATTTTGTGAGAAGCTGAAGCCACATAGAAGGCCATGTATTGGTGTTCCATCAAACAACCATAACCCCTTTCCCCCCTCCCTTAGTTGACAGTTAAATGTGTGGTCATGTGACTACGCTGTGGTTTGTGTACAACAGAGGCAAACAAACATTCAGAGAGCTCCGTGCCCAGCCAATGTCTGACAGCAATCCCATGAAAATTGCTAAATAAGAATTGCCCATTTCTGCCTGATAAACCTGTAGATTGGTGAGAGTTAATAACAAATGGTTTCTTTAAGTTATTATGTTTAGGAGTTTTTTTCTGTTTTGCATAGTAGAAGCTCATTGGGACTGAAAAGACTTAGGCCAAATCTTTTGAGTGAAACCAGAGCAAGACCTAAACTCAGGTATCTCTCCAAATCTAGTCTAATCTCCTTATAATGTGTTAAAGGAATATATAGATTTAAATAAAACCTATTCTCAGTATCCTAGTACTTATAATTCCAAAAGCTTTTATTCTTCAATATTCACAGGAATAGAGAATTTTCAAAATCTTGAAACATCTAAAACAAATTCTTAAGAACTTAAGAATTTATGATTGGTTTCTTAAAAAAAATTAAGGTAGCATTCCCACATGATCTTTTTTATAAAAAATGTTTTTATTAGTTTATAATATTTGTAAAGGGGGTTTCATCATGACATTTTCACATATACATATAATGTACCCCAGTTTGTTTCATTCCCTCCATTGTTCTCTGTTTCCTCTTCCCCCTTCTTAAAATGACTTCAATAGGTTTCAGTGTTCCATTTCATACATGTATACAAAATACATTAACCCTATTCACCTTCTTTTACCTTCTTCATTAACCCTGCCCTTATCATGATCTATTTTACATCCCCATGCTTCATTGTCTATCCATTACTCAGTGTTGGTTTTGCCTTGGTATTTCACCTGGGAGTCTAGTGTGCTTTAAGTCAGTCTAGCCTCTTCAATTACTCTTTCTTGCCCTTTTCCTCCTGAGGCAGTAAGTACTTAATAATATGTCAGAAGAGAAAGAGTTCCTTAGGTAAACTGATTAGAAGAAACTCTGTCCTAAATTAAATTTTAAAAATATCTTCAGAATTTTTCAGGAATGCAACATCTCCAAAAGAAGCTATCCATAGAATTTTTTCCCTAAAGTTGTTTGACAGAGGTGCCTTTTTCCAATGAGCACTTCTTGAGATTTGTTTCACAGAAAGACTAAAAAGAAATATTGGAATAAGGATACACTTTTATCAGCAAAAAATGAATTTTACTTTCAAAGCACTGCACAAAGAAGTGTGTTTTACCCTATAATGTGGTGTGACTTCAGCTTAGAGAACACATTTTTAGATAAAATTTTGACAATCTGCAGGGACCATGCTAAAATAGGTGCCTTTTACAACCTGTACACGTTGCTCTGTCTGAACTTTTTCTGTAGATATAGTTTCTAATATTTGAGGAATGAATATATGAAAGAAAAACAAAACTAGATAAACAAGAAGGTACTGAATCAATTCATTAAGAATTGTAAACCTGAAATCAGCACCAACTCTAATGGTTTAGGCTTTGTACCTTTAGTTTTGGCAAAAGCCAATTGGAGTTGTAATATGTCTCTGTCTTTCTGAGTTCTTGGCAAATTCAATGGAAATTTGAAAGTTGGAGGTGGGGCAGTTTTAAGGGTGAAATGATCATAGTAATCATACATTCATTCACTCCTCTCATTTTCTAGTTGTAGAGACTAGAATCTAAAAAGGAAGTTTACAGTACAAATGCTAGCTGTGTTGGAAACCTCCATCCCGGTGGATTCACATTAAAGATGTCAAGAAAGTCCTCTGTGTTAGTAGATGAATCAAATGCTATAATATTAATTTCAGGTGGTGATCATGTTTCTCAATCGAGTTTTATAAGCAATTTAGGCTGCAAATAGTGTTCATGACTGGTGTAGGAAGGTATGGTGATCAAAATATATATCCTATATTCTTATTCTATAGTTTTCAGCTCTAATGTATAGTTGAAGTTATCCAAGGCCGACAGCCATGACAAGATGGTTGAGAAACAATAAGATAGAATAAAGTATTTGATACTTTTAAGTTAGAATGGGAAGAAAATATTTGTAGGGATAAAACAAAGTATCTGTATTTACTTAGTTCTTTTGTGTAGCTCTGACAAAATATATATTATAAAAATAAAACAACAGTAAGTATAGTTTCCTAGCTGTTTCTAAATAAATTGCTTTGTTTCAATCCAGTGGGGAATCGTTCATACTATCTGACATGTATACCTTCATATTACATGGGCCCTATTCTGCAACATTTGTAACACGTTGTTGATAGTTTTTGTTTGAGTACAATTCAACTGTAAATGGAGAATTGGAGCCTCATTTTCCTGGATTTAAGGTGGTTCCAGTTCCAGCACACTTACCTCCACGAGCCTGCTAGTATGTTCATGAAATATAGCAGCATATTCTTTTATTTCCTTTTCCCGGCCATTCTTAGCAGCTTCAATGAGAACCAAAAGTGGGACTGTGGTATCCAAGAAAGAGTCTGACACGTGATCTATGATAGCTTTGCGGAGCTGAGGAGAAATAAAAAAATTCAAGTGTTTTTCTTTTTTCCTCCCTGAGGGAAAGGTTCATGTTATTTCCTGATCTTAAAATTTTAGTGGTTTATACATTTTTTAAGCAATCCCTAAGATGATAATATTCAACCCTGAGTGTGAATCTCCCTACAAAAGTAAGACAAACCAAGCATTAAGGAAAAAATTATCCAGCAATATTTCCCTTGCTCTCAAAAGTCAGCATTTTTTTATTATAATCAACCCATAAGTCAAATTGTAAGTGGAAATTCTCCATTTTTTCTCAAAGAAATCATGCTATTAGTATGTTTATGCATGTGTACAAATAACACTGTACATCTTGTATGTTCATAATTACAAAATTATAAAATGTTTTCTACCTTATTGCACGAACTGGTGATAAATTTTGATTAGCTAAATTTGTAGACTTCATGGTAATTAAACCAAGTTAGATCACTGATTATGCCCGATAATAACAGATTAATAGAGCAAAAAGAATAATAAATGAGTTCGATGTACAATTTTCTCCATTTGCATTAATTGTTCTTGCCCTCACACCTTAAATTATTAAATAGCTATAACATTCTGCTACAATTAGTTCTTTTAAATTAGATTGCATGTTAGCTTATAAATAACAATCAGATAATTATTCTACTCAGCAGATATTTTCTGATATTTAAAACCACATTGGAAAATTAATTCATTATGTTTAATTTGATATTGAGCTTTTAAGGATCACACAATATCCTGAAATGTTTCACTAACCATGTCATTGGCTATGAATGGTCCCAAAGGTGTTTGGATAAACCCCTTTATTTAGTTTAATGACCTCTACATAATAAAACAGAGGTAAATAGCTATCAGATAGATTGTAATTTGCCTTCTGTGAAAATGATAGTTTAGGGTAGTTTTAAATGTCAACTTAGTTTTAGATAATGTGAGAATTACTAGTAATATATTTGTGAGAACTAAATGACAGAGATGCATTTTAAAGAAGCACTGTCTTTCTATAATAATTATAGGATAGTAAATTGATAATAATTATAGGCTTCTAGAAGAAAAATATCTCTGCCCAAGATAGTAGAGCTCGCTCAGAAGAGTTGTGAAATTTTCTGGCTACCAACAATATCACAAAAGCTGCTGGAAGATCCCAAGGGAAAGATTCTGCTTAGCATGCAGAAAGGCAAATCACTAATAGAAACAAATTAATATTTACTGAGCACTTATTAGAACACAATGTAGAGTGCTAAGAGATTATAAAGGAAGGGAAGAACTTTAGTGAATGAACAATGTGTTTGCTATTTATGGGTAGGGGATCAGGGATGTCAGGCAAGAGGTCTTAAGTTAGGACTGGAGCTAGGAAGTATTATGTAAGTTTCAGAGACATATGAGAAAAAAAGCAGCAATCTCTCAGAGGGGAACGTTTTGAATGATCATCTCTCCCTCTGTCCTTTTCTTTTTATTTGTAACTGCAACATGATAGAAATAGCTACACTAAAGATCGCTCATTGACAGTCAGCATACCAGGATGTGGATGGAACCAGGCAGATAGAAACACAGAGTGAGGAGACATCCCTGAATGAAATCTTAGGAATATTACCATTTATGAGAGTAATGTAAATGGAAGAGTAGGAACTGAAAAGAGATGGAGAGAATGACCAAGACACAAGAGACCAAATTACCAATGTCTGAAAGACAAATTTTCAAATAAATCTCAGTGTCATTATTCTCCAAATGTACTTTTCCTACCAAGCAAAATTATTATAATATCCGCATTACAGACTTACAGAATCTTCTTTTCTGAATAGTATTTCCTCTCCTTTCTAACAAGAGCAAGATATGAGAAATGTCAACCTGGAAATATTTGATCTCATGTAATCTAATGGTGGGCTGAGGATCATTAAATATTATAATAAAGGAAAACCAAGAGACTGATAGCAAGATGTATGCATGTGTGTGTATTATATGTATAAATATAATTTGACAAGAGAATAGAGTTAAATTATGAGAATAATTTAAATTTTAAAAAGATTTGTTAATTGAGCTTGACCACTAATGTTTTTGATGAACTTAGTAAGAGCAGTTTCAGAGGAAAAATAGGAACAGGTGTCCTATTGCTATGGTTTGAAGAGTGAGTGAATGACAAGGAAGTAGAGAAAGTAAGTATAAATTCCTGTTTCTGGTAATCTGTGACATTAAGAAGCAAGACTTGGTATCAGCCATCTTGAAGCACAAGTTTAAAGATAGATTTTACAAGTTTAAAGATAGGGCCTACTCCTTGAGCCACTCCACCACCCCTTTTCTGTGATGGGTTTTTTTCAAGATAGGGGCTCACAAGCTATTTTGCTCAGGATGGTTTCAAACCATGATTCTCCTGATCTCTGCCTCCTGAGTAACTAGGATTACAGAGCTGACCCACCAGCGCCTGGCTAAAGTTTTGTTTTGTTTTGTTTTTTAATGTAGGATTTTGATATAAGTTCTCATCTACAACTATACCTAAAAAGTCAGATTGCCTTCTTATGCTATTCGAATAACATACTAATTTTTTACCAAAGCAAAAATCTAGAGAGATGGATAATGATTATTTTCTCACATGTGAAAACTTTGTTCTTTTTTGAGTCATGACATAAGGAAATTTCCAGAAACTAGCAATTTGTGCTCACCACAAGTGAAACCTTTAAGAGATAGCACACAATCAGCAGGCAGGGAGGCATCTCTCCCACTGAAAGCATCTTAGCCCATGCAAATGACAATCTCAACCAACCCACAGTTTTCTCTCTAGTCTCCGTGTGACTTGCTGGTTCCTGATCCTGAATCCATGATCCTTCCTGTTCATGACTATGATGATGGACGAAAGTAAAGGTTTTTGGTGTCTAATATATGATCCTCTGGATCTGTCTCTAATTTCACCTGTTGCTGTGGGGAATCATTCCATGTTCTCTGAAGACATTCCATGCTTCTCTTTATTATTCTGTCTCAGGCCCTGCTCTGAGATTCTCAGCTAAAATACTGATGTAGCTTGGAAGTTCTGGAGAATCCATACATTGAGAAATACCACCCATGAGCAATGAGAGAACTACTAGATAAAGTTCTTACCCTCCATCCATTGGTCAGACAATTTGAGAAAACATTTTGGTTCTCAGAAGACCTTAAGCTTTTGTTTCTCATTCTGCATATAGCATATTCTTTCTTCTTCCCTTTCCTCATTTTTTATGTTCTCTTACACTCATTTCTTGGTCTCACTGCCCAAATAAACTACTTAAGCTAAGTTCCTATGTTAAGGCTCTGTTTTCATGAAAGTGAATCCAACTTTAAACAAAAACCTTTTTCTGATGTTAGTATTTGGTCATTACCAACTAACAGACTACTATATATTACATAAACTAATCTTTGCCAGTCGTATTCTGTCACTTCTGCTTTGCACATTACTGGGTGTGGCTTTGCCAGGCACTGTCATATGCTGACCATGGAAGAGTTATCATAAGCCAGGACTAGATATGCAGATGGTGACAAGACACAAAGGACAAGGATGTTATGCTAAGAAATTTTCTATATGTTTTAACATATTCCTATGGGACCTATTAATTACATTGCATAGTCATCTATACATATACTATTTAAGTAGCCTCTATCCTATTTATTTACATATCGTTTTCCTGTCCAATGGCATACTGTATTCCTTTCACATCGAAAACATACAAAAAAGTTTAAAGAATAATCCAATATGCCAATGTAGAAGTAGAATGCACAGTGCTAAAATATGAAGTTAGTGGGAAGCCAACAGGAGTTAGAGGTATGTATTTTCAATAAGTGCTGGTTGTGGCCAGGCATGAATGATGTCAGAGCAAAACCGAACCATGGGGCTTTCCATCTTTTCTCACTACAGTTTAATAAAAGGTTTGGAGACATCAATTTTTCTATTTCCCACTGATATAAGTGGTTTGGGATTTGAAATAAAATAATATATTTCTCTACAATAGAAACACAAAAGTGAAGGCCTTAGGTGAAAACTATAAGAAAACCCCACCATAATCACTAAATAAGGGAAAAGAAGGACTAACACTGTGAGGTGAAGAGGAATGGAAAGCAGAGAAAGTGCTTTAGAAAAGAATCAGAAACTAGAAAAATATATTTGGGTATATTTATGCCATTCTAATTTTAAGAGAATGAGCAAAATATGACTTACAAAGCTTAATTGACCAATAAGAATGCAATCAACTAACAATTAATCCAGTGGATACCAATTTGGTATTAATTTAGTAGCACTTGCACTTCTAGAAACTTAAGTTGATTGGATGATGATGGTAGTGGTGATGACATTTATTTTCTGAGTGTTTCACTAGTACTACCAACATGGAGTAAAGACAGATCTCAAAGTTCAGCAAATCAGCAATTGCAGAGTTCATCAAGGTTTTGTTTTGCCTGCTCATTTGCTTGTTTTTGCCAGAATTTTATTTTATTTAATGTACCTCATCCTTCTACTGGTTTAAATTAAATACAAATATTTGTATAGAAATAAAAATATTAACCTGCCTTTAGTAAAATCAAATAGATCTTTCTCTCTTCATATGACAACAGAAATTTGTTTCCATTTTTTTTAGTGAACTCACAGATATTAAAAGATCTTCCTTTTGTAAAAATCTCAATAGATATGCAGTTCTCAAATAAATGATGGGGGTGCAGGCTAAAGGAAAAAGGATGGTTAACTTTTAAAAAGCATGTAAAATAAGTAATAAGAAAGAAATATATTTATTGTGGTAGAATCAGTGTGTTTGGCCCCACTGGTTCTGAAAGTGAAGAGCCTGTTATCCCTAGCCCCTGGTGTGGTGCTTACAAATTTGGTTGGAGTTGAATGGACCTGAACTGGAATGGCAGCTCCACCAACTAACTGAAAGATGGTTGGTAAGTTGACTTACTTGAGAGATTGAGATAATAATACTGTGGTATTGTTTTTGTATCAGGGATAAAAATCAATAATATGAGGAATACACTTGGTAGAGAGCTTTGGAAAGTATTTACTAAATGAGAGATCTTGTCAAAATTGTCATTACAAGAGTTTATAATCCAATGGAAGAAAACCCTTATAAGATAAAAAAGACAAATAGAGTTATAATAGAAGTACACATACTATAAGTGCTCCAAGAAGGAAATACTAATTCCAGTTGGTGAAAACAGCAAAGGTATCATGGGAGAAGTCATTAAACTATCATGGGTGTATTCAAGTGATTCGGAATTAGGAGGGAGAAGGAAGATACCAAGCTCAACATACCACAAGCATGCCATAAACATTTCATAAACACTATGGACAGAAGTGTCTTTGCAAAGATACAAGCATTTTTGGGAAGAAAGTGATGGAAATTTTGGCATACAGAAAATAGCCCCTTGTCGGGTGAATGTGTTGGTATGGAGAGAAGGAACCGAGGAGGAAAACTGAAAAAAGAAAACATTAAAAATAATAGGGAATAAATTGGGGCTAGAACACCATGACAGGAACTTTCGCCTCTGCTCTGTAGTAAAATAGGCAAGAAAGTGGCAGAGCAAAGAAGTTGAACACAATACATTATATTTCACCTCCTGGAACATTCCATTTCTATGTTCCAAAATGTATCCATTGTTTCTCCTCAGGTATTGCTAAGCATTCTATAATTTCTTATGAAAGTAATATAATCATTCACTAAACTAAAGCTAAAATGTGTCTGTGTTGCTGACAAAAATATATTTGCTAAGAAAGAGTATAGGGATGAATGGACAAGAAAATATGTTCTGATTATTTTTTGCTAAAAACAAAGCTGGCAGAGACTCAAGTGGTAGAGTGACTGCCTAGCAAATGTGAGGCCCTGAATTCAAACCCTGTACTGTCAACAAAAGAAAGAAAGAAAGAAATGAACAACCAGTTCTACAGAAAGAAATGAACATTACTACAAGGAAAACATTTTAAGAATAAGATTTCCTATTTTTGTAAAAAAGGAGTCTATGTAAGATGCTTAAAACAAACTATTATGTAAACTTTGCAAGAATAAAAAGAGATAGAGAAAACTCATATTGCTTTTTAAACTAATTTTTATTACTACCAAAAGTATAGAAATCTGGATGGAAAATGAAGTAGTGAGAGGGGGCATTAATAAGGATAATGAGAGGCACTGCAACTAACATCCCCAACACTAAAGATCACAGATGGATCCCAACAATCCCAGCCCTCTGTGCATACTCATGTCACTTCAGACAGAGATTCCTGACAGTTCCTGTGGGCTTTGTGACTGGATTCACCCACAGAATGAACAGGAAACAATTTTCTGTGACTTTAGAGCCCAGGCCTGATAGCTTCCATCTCTCTTTACTTAGCACTTTGAACCATCATGCAATGAATCCAGGTTACCTTGCGAGAAAGAATATCCATGAAGGAGTCCTGGAAGATTACACCACATGGGAAGAGGGAACAGGAAGACCCAGCCCTATGCCCAGTCATGGTCACCATTTGATTACCACATGTGGGAAATCACAAGAGAAAGTAAGACAGAAACAGTCCTGCTGACCCAAAGCCAACACCTGGAATCCTGGTTGCTGCTGTTTGTGGGGTTTGGTAAACATCAGTAGAAACTGAAAAGTGAAAGATGTTGACCTGTGAAACCACCAGAACACAGCAGTTTTCTACAAATTGAAAATCACTCCCATGAAGGAAGTATTTTAGTAATGCCAATGCTATTTATATATTCTCACTGATGGCAATGAGGTAGAAACACAAGTAGGAGCACAAGATAAAATACAGGACACCTGGTTAAATTTGAATTTCAGGTAAACACAGTTTAATAAAAGCTTTTGAGACATCAAAGATTTTAATGTAAGTATATCCCATGCAATATTCGGAATACAATTATATTACGTACATACAGCATGTTTGGTGCTAATCTGAAATTCAAATTTAGGTGGACATATTGTGCTTTTAATTTGCTAAATCTAGTAATTCAACATGCAAGGAGTTGCTTTTACTTGACATTTTTTTAGAAAAAATGACTCCGAAATCTTTGGAGGTAAGAATATAGATTAGCTCTTCATGCATAATTTTTGATAACAATATATAGAGAAGAGATAGGAACAAGAAATATGATTATGGAAAACAGGTTACATGACAAGGGGAGAGCACATACATGAGGTATAGGGATAGGTAGAAAACCCAAAACATGAAAGTGTTTAATGTCCTCACTCCAGAGGAACTAATACAGAAACCTTAAAGCGACAGAGGTCAACACGAGAAGGGAATCAGGAACCAGTGTAAAGATCAGTTAGAGATGAATCAACATGGGTTGTAACACATTTGTACATGGAAGCAATGCTAGAAATCTCTCTGTATAGCTATCTTTAACTCAACTAGCAAACACACTTTGCCTTTCTTACTATGCTTATGTCTTCTCTTCAACAAAATTAGATAAGGGCAGAACAGGTTCTGCCTGGAAGCAAGAGGGGCTGGCGGGGGAGAGAGCGGGGGTGGAGGGCAAGGGGAAGAAATGACCCAAACAATGTATGCACATGTGAATAAATGAATTAAAAAAGAAAACAGGTTAGGAAAATTCTGGGTTCAGAGTTCCAGAGTCCTGGTGTAGGTTGTGACTCAATGTCCCTTCTTCCTTAGACAAGTCACCTCACTACACTGGTCTGCCTTATCTCATCTGCATCTAAAATGTGTTGTGCTAATAAGTTTCAACTCTTACATTCCATGATCCTAAGTGTGACAGTAGAAATAGAATTCACATTAAGGTTATAAAGTTGAGAAATTGGGATACTTGCTGAATTTAAAATTGTGATTTTTACACAGCCAATATTAACTATCTGGGGGTACTTATTTATTCCAATTCTAAATAATCTTCTATATTAAAAGATTCCTTGGCCATTTCACTAAATCTTCCCGTTAAAGTACAATAATATATTGCATTAAAAGCTTTTGCTTGAGAAGCTTTTTGTCTGTTTTTTATGAGCTAATGGCTGTCATTTTAAAGTTGCGCATCGAAAAAGGTCTGGTTCTTAGATACTGCAAAAGGATGGAAAGCAAAGTTCTTTGGAATTGGCCAACTCTTCATATTTCTGAAAAAAAATAACATGCATAATATTAGACTTCCAAATTGTTTAGTGAAATCCTTTCTAATGCTATGTTCCCAAAGTTTAAAAACATAGCATTAATTTAAACAGAAAGTAGTTTTTGAAACATCCACAAAATAATCAAAAGGTAGAATTGGAATTCTTGAATTATTCATTGTTTTCTGTAAGTATGTGTATGACAAACCCAGTTTATCAAGATTCCCTAAATCTTTCTAGGCACCAAACACTGATATGCATTTATGTAATCTTGAAGCATTACAATGTAGTATTAATTCCTTTTCAGAGCTTCAGAGGAGCTAACAGAGATGGAATCTGAACCCAAGATCTCACAAGAGCCAGGGTTTGAATGTAGTTCCACATGACATTAAGACATGCATTCTTCTATTTTATGTTTGCCACAAAACATTTGAGGCCTATAAATGTGGAAAGTGTATGCTTACTACTCTTGTTTTCTGCTCTGAATTAATTTTAATGGAACAGAAACAAGAAATAAGTATTCTAGCAATGAATAAAAGCTTCCCTTTGCATGTTTGCCTCTGTCTCCATATCTGTCTCTTCCCTCACCTGTCTGCGAAGGTCTCTTGTCTTCTTGCACATGTTGTCTATAGCAACATTCAGGGTATTACTCCTTTCTTTTTTTCCAGTCTGCAAGGAAGAAAAAAAATGACATGAGCAATGGTACCAAATTACTCTTTATCACTTAGAAATTTGCTTTCTGAATTTCCTGAAAATAACTGCTTGAAAATTCAAGAATAGTTTTCAAAACTGCTTTGATATTGCATATGATTCATGAGCATTTCACTTAAGACTAAGTAGAATGGTGATTAAAGTTCACATTATTTTCTTCTTTAAGCTTCTGTAATATTTCTGATACAGGCTTTGGTTGCATTCAATGTGGCAGCAGGCAGAACATTATCTCCATGAAATTCTGATCTTCATTCTTAACAAGTCAACTCTTTAACTGCTAAGCATGCAATTAACTTAAAAGCATTAGATGCCCAATTTGTCAACTTCTGTGGGAGTTTCTGAAGTCATTTTCATGGTGTATTGTGTAAGTTATGCAGAGCCATATTGGAGTTTTGCTAAACACTAAATAAAATATGCAGTGCAAATTCATACAATTTCCAAAAGTTGACCACAATTTTAGCTGACAATATTCCAAGAACAACTTGTTTAAAGTAAGAACTGGATGCTGTTTTTGGCTCTTTAAGATAATTTGTGCAACACCTTTTCATTCTTTGAGCAGAACAGTTTTCTCTGTTACATCTTTAACCTAAGTCTTTAGGATATTAAGCACATAAAGAGTCACCTTGGTTGATATTTTCTACATATTATTTTTGTGGAAGACAACTGGATTGAGTCTAATCATACTTTTTCAGTGATGTTTCATATAAAAGAGATTGAAAAAAAATCATTATGTGATTCACCTCAGGAAAATTGCCACTTTTAGATTAATAGACTGAAAAGAGATCTTGAGAAAAGACCTTGAAAATCAGGGAGGCAAGTTTAACCAGCTGATAACTGAGGGAGTTTGCTACATGATTCCATGAAGAGGGACATTGAAGAAAGTATAGGATCATTAGGCAGCATATCAAACACTATCCCCGGCAACTAAAGTCATACACAAATCCATACCTTCAAATGGAAAGACTTCTTAAGAAAATTCAAGACCATCTATGCTTGTCCTAACCCACCTCTTACCTCCTGCCATATCTTCTCAAGCAATATCCTTTACAGTAACAGTGTTCCTTTACTTTTCTATCTCTTTCATTTTTCCCAGGACTTACATATAATATACCTTTGAGTTTAGAGAGCATCTCTAAAAATAGCACCTTTAAAATCCTTGCTTTTAGTCATTGGTGTCCACAAAGAATTCTAACAACCAACAACCCTGCTCAAAAATAAACTGTTACCTCTCCATGTTCCAGTGGCATCTCTCAATATAGTCATTCTATTTCTATACATGCTTATCAGCTCACAATACTGTGAGAATTTTGTTATTTTATATCAAGTATGTCTTCGAACAAGTATATTTTCTATTTTCATTGCTTACATAGAACTTATCAAATGGAGTTGACAAATGAACAACTTTATTCAAAATACAACATAGTTTTTTTTAATTATTCTCCTGGGGGTACACTGTGACATTTACAAAAGTTCTTACAGTATGTCATACTTGAATTCATCACCTATCATCTCCTTTATCCTCCTCCCCCCAATTCCTAGAATAGTTTCAACAGGTCTCATATTGCCATTTACATACATGAATATATAATATTCCACCATAGGCGCCTGTGTGCCAAGAAGATATAATACTAAACTATGGAGAAGATTTTAGCACTTAGCCCTTAAAAAACAGTTAATGTCTTCTATCACCTGTGGTTTCTGGTGCCCACTAAATCTCAGTTAGATTCTTATTTTCTCAGCAGCAGTGTTACTAATATTTTATTTATTTATTTATTTTTCCTTTTTCTTTTATTATTCATATGTGCATACAAGGCTTGGTTCATTTCTCCCCCCTGCCCCCACCCCCTCCCTTACCACCCACTCCACCCCCTCCCTCTCCCACCCCCCTCAATATCCAGCAGAAACTACTTTGCCCTTATTTCTAATTTTGTTGTAGAGAGAGTATAAGCAATAATAGGAAGGAACAGGGTTTTTGCTGGTTGAGATAAGGATAGCTATACAGAGCATTGACTCATATTGATTTCCTGTGCATGTGTGTTACCTTCTAGGTTAATTCTTTTTGATCTAACCTTTTCTCTAGTACCTGTTCCCCTTTTCCTATTGGCCTCAGTTGCTTTTAAGTAAGGGCACAGTGTTACTAAAATTTAATGTGTGAAAACTAAGCATAATTTGAGATCATCCTATATACTACAAAATTGTCATCCATGAACTCATGTCTACTAAATTCCCATACCAACTCCTAGGCTCTATAACAACCAAAAGCTAGCACCACACACTTTTAGCTGTCACCTAAGAGGAGTGATAGCAGAGATCCGCTAAGTGTCCACAGCATTTTAGTTTTGAAAGAGATTTGAATCTGTATACAATGGAAACTGTCTAGTCAAGGAAGAGGGTCTAAAGGAGGAGAAACAATAGGAGATACTGGTGTTGGGACTTTCACTGAGCACAAATAAAGCTCTGGATATCAGAGCAACAGTGGCAATATAGCCACATGAAACATGGCTACTTTCACAGCTCCTACCCAGTGTTCTCCATGTTAGCAGCATAGAATTGTGAAGAGTGAATCCAAGACCACATAAGGCAATGGCAGAAACTGAGAGACAGTTTCTAATTCTATCTAAAAAGCCTCATCTTTATTCTCCAGTTTCATGCATTATTAGAACTTTTGTTATATGTCTTTCCACTTTTCATAAAAGCAGAGATCACCAAAAAGGGGCAAGAGTTGGGACAAAGAGATCCCCCACATTTCCTATAACCCCACCAGTATCAGGAATAATATGGATATTCCTGTTGTGTTGGCTATAAAAACTCACTAGTTTCTGTGCTGTGATTCATCAGAACAACTAAAAGATGTCAGCTGTCTCATACCTAGCAGTAGAGGCATACAAAACTTTAATAAAGGATGACAGGAGTGAGAGCATGAAGAGATTCAATAGGGAATGTAAAGATGATTTCCTGATTTTCACCCAGAGTTTAACCTTAGCTTAAAATATTTCATTGGGTCAAAGATATTTTGTTTTCTAAGTAATAATAAACAGTCCCTAACACTACAGAAGTATAAATTCTCCCTCCTTCCTTTTTTCTCCCTCCATGTCCCATCCCTACCTCAAAACTCTTCTTTTTCACCTCCAGCTTTTTATTGGGTCCTTGCTCTATTTATCCAGATTTATTTGGCTTCAGTTGAGCCATGTTATGCCTCTTTATTCCTTTTGCATGGTATAAAAATAAATAAAGCAAGGAAAAATAGCCCCATCTTGTTTAAAGGCCTTCATTCCCTCTGTTTTCAAAGCCTTAACAAATCATCAAACAATGAGCCTGCACTAAAGGAGAATTCTGTGTTCTGAGATGAGGGATGCAAAGGGCAGGATATTAAAACACAACCACAGATAAGAGTCTGGACCTGCCTATATCCCAAGTGCTCAGAAGACAGGATGCTCCATAAAGGAATCCTTGAAAAATTCATCATTAAGTCAGCACAGCCATGCTGAAGGAAAAGAGGTGGCTTTTAGTGAGTATTAGGGAGAAAAGTACCAAGAAAGGATGACATGGACCAGCACCTGACAGGGAACATTCTTAAAAGTAAATAAATTGCCAGGAAAGACTTTATTAAAAAGAATAATTCTGAGCATGGTCTTCTTCAATGAAATTTAATTAAAATTTTTATTGGACATTAAAAATACTATACAAATGTGATCCAGGCTTGTTCATGTATAATCTTAACTATTAGTCTTTCTGTCAATTCTTCCTCATCATTGCTGCTATACACCAACCCTCCAGTGGTTACTCTATATTACAAAATTTGTGTCTAATTATGCCCCCCTTGCTTTAAAACTCTTCTTTCTATCTTCATTGCTGACAAAGTTAGCAATAAACTGTTGATCACAGTATTTAAGGTCATACATGATTTAGTCTGGAATTTACTTATTAACCATTAATGAAACATTTTATCTGGTCCTTTGTGTTCTGTGCAAAACAATCACAATTCCAGAACTCTGCTTGTAAAGAAACGTTTTCTTTTCATGCTCCTACAATTCTGATTACAGACATCTTTTAAGATACAACTTCATTCCTAAATTTTACATAGAATCTTTATTGATCTTCTCAGTTGGAATTAATCATTTTCTTCCATTGTACTTTCTTATACTTCTACACTTCTTTTATTATACTTTGTTTAATAAATAGTCCAATACAATCAATAAATCTTTGTTATTGACTATATGACAGGCCTACATAAGGACCAATAATACATCAGACGCATTGCCTGACTTTCCGAAGCACACATGTCGTGGTAGGATCAGACAAAGGCACAGTATTTAACAGCTGTCTGGGGTAACAAATAGACTAAGGAGAGCGGCGCTCCCATGAAGGACAAGAGAAGGATCCAGAGCAAGCAACGGTGCAGTAGTGAAGGATATGTGAGAGTCAGGCAAGCGAAGATGAGAGCAAAGGCCATTCTGGGGGGCTAGAGACAGGCAGAGCAAGGCAAAAGTCTTTAATGAGTATTTGATAACCGATATAAGATGTGTGAGGGGAGGTCCCATACTGGAGGTCTTTGTCACACTGAGAAATGAGATTAGCCTTATAAACAACTTGAATCCATACAATTTAATCAAGTGAGTGATACAGTCAGACCATTATATCAAACTGACTGGAGTCTGTGAATGGAATTGAGGGGATTAAGAGCACAAATATGCTGAAGAATTAGATAGTCACAGCAATTGTCCACAAGAGAGATGAGATATGTTGAAAGTGATGCAATGACAGTCAGTTTAAAGAAAATGACAGACTTAAGGACTCTGTATGAGTAAACTAGATGAGATGTTGACTGTCAGGAAAAGGAAAGAGAACCATCTAGGCTGATGTCCAGGTTTCCAGCAATGATGACTGACTGGGTGATGCTGCTGTGAACTGAAATGGTCAAT